TGCTGCTAGGTTTCCTCCTTCAGAAGGGCATAATGGGGGCGGAGGGCGGGGGGGGGGGATGGAAAAGGGAGAGGATGTTATATGATTCGCTTGCAGTGGCTGGGATAGTTTATATGAAGCCGGATGTGCCATCACCGTTACAAGCTTCTGCGTGACGCACTGGTAGCAAAGCTGCCGCCATGTTGAAGATGAGCCGCTTTCGCCGACTATTCGGAGGACATTTGGATTAACCTGGAGAAGCTCACGGAAGGGCGTGACAACAGAACCGCCTGCTTCCAATTGTACTCCGAGTCTCAGGGAAACTACGCTTGCGCAGCCAAGTTTGCGCGCGTTTAATTTTCTCTGTGCCTTTCGTCCGCCCGAAGTTTTTCGCAGGGCTATCCCGCCACCACCTACGCTGCCACTCGAGGACTCGACTGCAGGACTCGAGTAAGTTATATCCTTAAGCAGCAATGCTTGCAGCACTCCTCGTTTGTATTGGCGCACGAAACGCGGAAGCAATGCTCTTCAGTACGGTTCAGTAGCTCTCGAACTCGCGGCGAATCAATAGGGACTGAGGATTTAAACCAGTTATACAAGGCTAAGCTACTGTCGGCCGCTAGTGCTACTTGCTAACAGTACGAGTGCAGCTAGAGTTGGCCTAATGTACGTATAGCTAAACGTTCCTGCATAAAACGCGTAGGCTAGCAACCTGATGAAGGCACAAAAGCGCCGCCAAGCGGCAGCTGTTGAGCTAAGGAATAATACTCTGATACGTATACGAAGCCGTTACTAGGAGCAGGGGCACAGAGTGATCAGCGGACACATGAGCTATCTAGAATAAATCAGAAGTCATTGTCCGTAATTAAAGGAGTATCCGAACTTCCTGTCCCCTCTAGCGCGTCCCGAGACTATGATACAATAATATATCTCTGAGAATATTTCTCATTATTCAGCGGAATTTTATGCGCTCTGAGATATCCTATTAAGGTAGGTATACTGTCCACGTTTATACCCAGACAGCTTCTAGCAGCTTCCCGGGATTATCAACGAGAAATGCAATACGTTAAGAATGTCACACAGTACATGGAAACGAAGGAGAAAATTTAATTTTCCCGACGATATTAATAATGCAACACGAAGCAATAAAATTGAGGCGATCTTTGCAAAGGTGTAGAATCCTCTAAGTGATAGCCTTCAAAGCATATATCTCTTCTGACTCGGTTCATTTTCACATGTGAGCACCATGGACTAAACACGTTTTCAACTTACTAACAGATTTGTGGCATGGAAGAATAATCACATCCATTGCAAGCTTTACTTAGCAAAAAACATTTGATTTTTTCGACAAAACCTTGTCAGTGATTTATTTTCCAGGCCAGATAAAATTGGCCCGGCACAGTCATTACTGCGAAGTCATTATACCTACCATGTCTCTTTGGACGTAATCCCAATGAATCTAGTTCGCGGTTGCAAATTCTATTTTTATTTACGCAGGATGAACCTTCAACGTACTTGTATATTAAACACACACCTTCGAGCTGTGACCTAACTGAATCTGATTTAATGTCCGTGCTTCATGGAGTCTAAAGAGGGATTGCAGAGAGAGGATCGAGAGAAGGATTGAATAGCTTGTCCGTAAGACCCCCTAGTATTTATTAGTGACCTTTTCAAGCTGTTTCCAACGAGTGAACATTACTCATTATAGAATGAAGTAGCTAGACCCGATATGGCGATACACAATCATATCCTGTTTCTATATTGGCATCATACAGATCACGTATTAAGCAAAGATGTATAGACACGCATGTATAGTCGACTTCTCGTGCTTATTTGGATTAGATCTATTTCAGTGCTCAAGTAAGTCAAGAGAAGCGGCAAATTTGAAGACAGACCTATGAATAGACAATGCGTTTATCTGCTCATTCATCGAGATGCCCAGTTTTTTTGCAATTTAAAAATTGTACCAAAGGCCAAATCCATTTTTCGATAACATCGAGAAAGCCGAGTTTCCTATATGAACAATTTGCTACTAAATTACAATCCTTATACTAGAACTATTAGTGGAAACAAGCTTGTGGTAAATTTGTAGCATTTGCTCTTTGTAGCTTTTACGGCAGCAGTATATGTCAAAATCGTCCTTAGTTCTTGCTTGTGTTTGCTCCCGTTTGGCCAATGTGTTCAAGACATTCTGTCAGATCATCAGGAACTTTAAAAACAAGCAAAAAAGAAAGAATTAAGTTAGCTTTTTTGTTTCATACATATATATATATAAGTTAGCTATATATAAATCATATATACGGGTTTACATTAGAGGAAATTGACACTTACGTATTCGGCGCAGATATGCCAATTTACCTGATAGAGAATCATTCCAAGTTAAAAATTTCGTACTCAAAGAGCCATGCTTGATTTATCGCGATTAAATTTTCTGAGGCAATTGGGTAGTATGGACACGTCATTACGCGTGGTGAGTTGCTCCTAGCTATTGCTGTTTCTTTGTATTAAGATATCTGTCGTGAAGATATCAGTTTGGGTCTTCAATTGCCACCGAAGGTGGCCTTTATTTGGCGGGTCATCTGATCGTGTTTCGAGTATGCGTTAAATATTAAAATTACCTGTTACGATATTCATAGCTATCGGGCAAATACATTTCGGATACCGTTACTGATGGAATATAAAACACGTGTGAAGTACGTAGAAATTCTGGAGCTCGAATTGTCGACCTCATTTGTTATTAGCTGTATTATGCAATGAAGCAATTTTCAGGTTGCTGAGCCTGGACACTGGGGAATTCAATTTTAATCCAGAGGCCTTTACGCTAAGCAGCTCAAATCAACGTCGTGCGTTTAGAGAGTGTCGCAGCCCTTTAAGGAGTTGTAAAAGTTTGATGTTTCAAAAGTTACCTTCCGTCTACTAGATTACGTTTACGAAGTGATATGCCGTATACTTTAAATCGTTACTCTCAATGCACTTATAGAGGGAAACGTATAGTAATGTCTGTATGAGGAAGTCTGCGTAAACAGTTACTTTCTGTAAGATCAAATAAATGTTGAAAATACTGGTCAGTGTCGAGAACAGAACCAAATTACATAGCACCATTACCCCATATACATTGCTTACTGAGGGAATGCTAACTTTTAATTTATCTTTAAACAATCGTAAAAATTTTAACTAGACTTGACTAGCCTCGAGCACAAAGCAACGTGTGCTTACCTTTGGCCTGCTATTTTTTTATTTAGCTCAATCCGATTCCCTTCAAGCCTCTTGTACTATATACGCTTCGGAAAAATACATCACCTATAAAGTAATACTTTTTGATCAATCTAATTATGGGCCTATCTGCTCAGAATGAAACAGAAATACCAATTTTAAATGAGATTCAAAAAGTTTTCGTTTAGGCCGTTACTCACATAATAGTTTTCCTCATATATCCATCTAACTTTGAATATTTGCATGTAATAGAAAAAATCAAAACACCATCTACGCATGATCTCTAACTGTTTGAGTTTGGGTGTGTTATTGTGACCATTATGGGTACGCATTCATTAAAATGAATAATGAATGTCTGCATTTGGCCATGTCGCTTGGGATTAGACGATGACTCTGTCCGCAGAAAAGCGTCTGCTATTTTTTATTAAGTGGTCGAACCGGTACAACTTTCGAAATAGTCGCCGTCCAATTTCAGTGTAGAAACCAAACTTAACCCTTGGGTTCTTCCATGATCTTGGTAGGATTAATATTCCAAGTTAGTATTAAATAAGGCATCACATAATATAGTTTAGCGTAATCTCGCGGTTCTTGACGAGGTAATTCCCAATTACTTTGAATAACTTAGAAAGAATTGAGTACGCGTTTCCGCCGCTAACAACTTCCAGATAAAAACTAGATGGATTCTAAGTGTTCAAAGAGATATGTATTTGTAGATATTGTAAAAAGAGATATAAAAATCTTCTCGTATAAGCGTTTTTTGTAGGGTCCGACACCTCTTAACAGCGGTGCTCTCGCTAAGGTCAGCCTCCGTCCCCGACTTTACTAAGGCCACTATGGAACCGTCTCCGACACATTTTAGTTAGGACTATAAGGCCATTCAAATGTAACAAACCGTGATCTGGTTTTAAGAACCTAAATGACTTGAGTAGATCTCTGAGCTTCAGCTGGGTAGAACGTGGTGGTCACTTATTCGCAAGTCGAATGCCCTAAGTGTTTCTCCATAGTGGCAGTCAGATCTTTTTTTAGTTCTCCCTCTTTTCAAGGCCGAAGACAAATCGGCTGAAATCGCTGCCCGTTCTGGCTAACGGTATAATTGTCATACGGATCGAACGCTACCCAGGTGGGTTACAATGGGCGTTGCTACAGTATGGTACACAACACCAGATATTTAGGTCTTCCAATGTGTCGTTTATCTATACTATACATATCAGTTTATTTTGACTTCCCGTATTAACAAAACATAATTTTTGTCTTTTTTTACTTACGTATCGCCCATAACACTCCTTAAGCCCAGCAATCTGGGTCTTGTATTCAGTATTGTAATCAGCAATAGCTTCCATAGTGTTTTCCTAATGAGTAATAATTCACCTGTGCTACTTAAGCTTTTACTGGTGGCTACCATAACTCGAAAGACCAGTGAAACGGGAATCAGGTCTCTTTTCGGCGCGTGCTACAACTAGTATCGCATCGTAGCTGTGCCTTAATGTATTATCATTAACTTACTTAGACCAGCTCATTCAATCTATGCAGTCTGTTCTAGCATCAAGAGATCGACCCAGCAACCCAGACGTGTCCCATACCACCTATGGGTTTCGAACGACTCCGCTATTGTTGCTCTATTCTCGGTACGTACCCTTCCCCGCGCACGCTCGACTTTTTCCCCGTCATCTCCAAAAGTGGCGAGGGTAAATAGACTCGACTCCCACTGCCACTGGATGGGAGAGGGGAGACTTTCTTGTCACGAGGATGATCAGTCCCATTTGGAGCGCGCGCGATTCGCACTCAGCAGCGGCAATAAGCTACAAAGGCAGGCAAATATTAAGCATCAGGAACTACCGTGTGCTTAGATGTGTTTAAAAGTGTGTGTATGACGTCCCAAAAAATTTAACAACAAAAGCGACAATAACATAAACAACAATAAAGCGTCATAGTAGTCCCTTCTTGCCGACTCACTGACCTCGTTTACGCGGGGCAGTTGCCAATAATAGGAAATAATAGGATAGCAGTATTGTAATACAACGTTCGAATGTAGCATCTGCCTCCATGATCACTTAATGTTGCTAGCACCAAAAAATTCTGTCGCTTAGTATCTCAAGTACGAAAATAGCGCATTGTGTGTTGTAGTTGGCATCCACGACATATCTTCGCCATGCCACCAATGTAGTTTACAGTGATCGACTCTTTACTACACCATTGCGGAATATGGATGCTCAATACACTACGCTCGCGGTGGACAAGATCCGGTAGCATTGCCATGTAACTTCTAGTTAGTGTTTCAAAATTGCGCGCGCATCATCGCAACTGCCACGGTCGCCCTCGGCTACAGTCAGTGGATTTCCTAAAGCCGTCTCTCCCACTTGGCGCGACGTTGTCAGCCTCTTTCTCCTCTCTCATTCACGGTTCCTCCCCTCGCTACTCTTTGCTGTTTTGGGATGTCACGGCGGCGTAACGTAACCGCCAACGTCTCAGTAGCTCAACACTAGTACGTCTTTGTATTATGTGGATCGCCGATGGACGAACGAACGTCGGAGCAGTAGGCTAAAGTTAAACCCAAAGCCGGATCAACAACCACAGCAACGGCAGACGAAGTAGTGGTAGAGGCTGAATAGCAAAGTTTTGGCGTTATCTTAAAAGTCGGTGTAAAGCATTAGCAAGTTCGGCGATCCATGTCCGCAGACTAGTAGTGACAGAGATTGGGGAATTTCCATCGTAGTTGCGGGACATGGCCGGTGATGGCGCCGCCATCAACATCTTCACGGCAGTGACAGTAATAATAATAATAATACATTACATTGTTGTTTTTTTTCTTCAAACAATTTCTTGTTTGACCGCAACAAAAGCGCTAACTACTAGTGCTATTGCTGCTGCTGCCGCCTGTTACGAAATGAAGCAACAAAAATATTAGAAGCGGCTGCTTGCAAACACTGAAGACAGAATTGCCTCATAAAGCCCTGACATAGCCCCGAGCGAAAGGATAACCGACGGGGCTCCGAAGACGACAATGCAACAGCTCTTCCCACCGCAGCATTAACGCTGTTGAAGAAGTTACTAACGATAGTCATAAAGCGACTCAGGTCTCCGATAAACCGCCCGTAAGAAAATCCATTTGGAAAAATCGACCGATGCTGTTTGTGTATTCGGTTGTCGTGATCGAGGATTTGATAGCGCCGATGGAATCACTCTCATAAAGCGTCGATGGGTGTAACCGCTCCGGATCTGTGTTTGTGTGTGTTTGTGTGTAATGAATCCTGTCGGATTTGATGGTCATAGTCGATGTTAACGTCGCTTTGGAAACAAGAAGAGTCGTTAGAGCAAAAGTCAAACCAATGTCTATACAGCCTTTACTACTACTACCACCACCACGGCACCTACAAATTCCCTAGATTGACAACGTTCGAATCTAAAAATTGTTCTCTTTATGTTTATTGTGCTTTCTCTACAGCGGTGCCTGATAACCGTTGTGCTCTATAGTATGTGTGCCTGTGTATGTCGGTTATCGTTGTGCTCAGTGTGATCCTATTGAAAAAAAAAAGTTGACGGAGTCCAATACTGACCTGATTTGACGCCGCTTGGTTTTCCAATGTTTAATTTTGCAATACATCTGGCAGATACAGAAGATCCGTCAATTTGCTTCTATGTACATCTTGGCCTGCTAACATAGTTGAATTGGATAGAGTGACCCAGTCATCGTTCAGGTGTCTGGGCGGCTTGCCGACAGTGAAATGAGTGTTGTTTTGGACTTCGATGTTATTGTTGCTTAGCGCCGTTTCCCTGGTGATCCAGTTCTAGTAAACGCGTGGAGACAGCCATAACATGTAAAGAAGCTGCAGGCGAGCGAAGAACAGATAGAGGCCAAGCTTAGAACAGAGCGGACATAGGAAATTTCGATTGGTTAAGGCGATTAGTGAACAGTTGGGATAGTCATCTTACACTTCGATTCTAATGGCGGCAACGGTAGAAAAGTATCCATCCAGCCAGCCAGCCAGCGTAGCATAATACGAGATGTCATCAGAAAACATCGTCATTATTCACGGAAGGTGAATCCCTACCCCAGCAGATTGCACCCAATCCCCGGTTGCCCAGGTGACCATTAGAGAACGCCTAATATTACCAAAATCGCCGATACCTTTATCAAAATCACTTCTCCCACCCCGATGACAACACGTTGGTATTTGTGAGAACATCTTATGTCCTGTCTGCTATTGTGTCTGTCAGTCCGGCTGTCTATCATACGGCCATCAGACGATCTGACACGGGTCATCTGCTTACTAGGGTAACCCAGTGTGATTCTCGTGATGTCTTCAGATGTCGATTTCTCCTTATATACCGCCGCCTCAGTTTTACTGCCACGTGTAGGACCACCTACCGACCTCTTCGGATATTCCCGCCATTTTTACATCAGCAACAACAACAATAATACCAGCAACATTACAGGTTATTACTACAACTACTAAGCCAAAAAAAGAACAGCAGAATTCTATAGCTACAACACTTAGGATTTTTTTGTAATTCCCGAATTATCACCGCCTTATTATTACCGGGGTCTGTCTATGAAGTAGACTAGAACACTATAAGCGTACCAAGCAATATCCACAAAAACAAAGAAGGAGAGATCATACAAGCAGAGTGTGATATAGCAACGAATTTCCGCCGGTAAAAAGAAAAAAAAAAACAGAAAAAAAACACCCGTAACAAAAATAATGGGCTGTGCATGTGATTGACTTTTCGTGTGAGTTTTTTTGGGATAGGTGGCCTGATCTTCGAAAAGCAACGAGTGTACCATACCCGCCAGGACCGTGCATGACACAAGTTATACGCGCTGTCGCTGTTACACGTCGTTGTGGACGCCCTTTGATGTGCGTCGATAGCGCGTTTTCGAAATTGAAGAAAAATTCTATCGTCTTACAGTTGCTTTGATAAATACGACGCTTATCTCCTTCCCGAAAAAAAGTCAATGTCATTGTGCTTTACGATTGCTCGATTTAATTAGTTGCGAAAATAAAAGCGTGTTATCACTTGGAAGCATAACGTAAGCTACTGACGAGCTAAAAATAGAATTATCTATAAAGACACACACAAACTCCCTTCAAAAGAAAAAGGTTGTGTGTGGACCTCACTTTCGATAACTGCCTAACTGTAAATATTGTGCGATAGACAAGTGTGCAATGCGTGATCCTTACCATCTAGGATTCTGTGAAAATTAACAGTAGAAGCAACTATACACCATAAAGAAGATCAAGTAAAGTCGAACCGGAAACACCCGACTACCTACGGCACATACGATCAACTGCAAAATCGCAATACTGGAGAACCTGGATCTGGTCTGCTTCGCTTTAAAAGGTAAGAGGTAAGGTAGACGTAATCGACTGGTGCTGCCTTTGGACTATCGATTTTCGACTCTCAGTTTGTGTGTCTGCCAATATGTGTTGGAACTCAAGGTTCGAGTTAAGAACAATATCAGTCCTAATTCTACTCAAATTAGTACCACTCACTACCCGCGGCAATATGCTTCCAACTCTAAACGTACTGAAATAACTATCAATAATACTACGAATACCTGCTGATCCCACTACAGCCGCTATGCAGCCTGTTGTACTACCCAAGAAGGCTTTTCTTCGAAATATCACCACATACACTTCAACGACTACGTTGTGCTCGAGTATTACTGTTACTGCATTCGACGCAATTCGTTACCGTGCATCACCGCTTCGTTGGTGGGTGCTTGATTAGTTTTTCCGTTGGACTCGAAAAAAGATGGAACGGCTACCAAAATCTACTTTGTCGATTAGATAAGCTAGGGTTACTTTGCTTGCAGGGTGGGTGTGGATGTCTTTGTGATTCCTTTACAGCCCCTTTTTTAATCTTTGTCCTTATAGAGAATGAGGTGATTGAAGCGCTGTTGGCTGGCGCCGTTAACTCCCCGCTGGATCTCCCCACTGTTGTCTCTTCGATGGCAAACCCGCCACTGCCCCTACTATTACTGCTGTATACCGTTGAGTCGTTCCTCTCTCCTTAGCTCGGTTGGGTTCTTTCATTCGGCTGTTTAACCTGTCTCCGGTCCTCCAGCCCGGGTTCCCTTCCCTGTCACGAATCCAAGAGAAGTCTGCACTACTTTACTTTGTAACCCCTCTTCAAACCGATATACGTCCATTTCGCTCAAATGCACTTACCGGGCTCGTCTGCCTAACCACGATAGGGCAGTGAGTGACAAAACCGTCGATGAAAGCATCGCAGTGTCGATGAATCAGCTGGCTTGGCACTTGTGGCGGTACTTTAATAGAATCGCAATCATCATTTTGTTGTAAGCACCTTCCGTGTCGTATTGCTCGTTTCGGTTTTCGTTGACGATAACCACCACGAGACGCCCAACGAACAGCCGGCGAACTCTGTCGCACTCATAAATATCTTAACGCTTAGTATGTACTAGCAAACTCGTCGTTAAACGTATATGCTTGTTTTATGTGGCTATGTTTGTCCTGTATTGGGCCTGACGTGCAGCGCCATTCGTGTGGGAATCTCTAGAGGTCTGCGGTAGAAAGGACTGCTCATAAAAATAATTTATCGTGGTCTTTTTCCAGCTCTGTTTTTTCCTGTCGTGTTTTTATGGTCGTTACAATTTTATATTTTGACGTGGGACACACGGCTAGACACATAGAAGCTCAAGCACTTGTCCTGACCAAAACTGAACGGTTCCTGAATGGCGGCCATTGTTATTCAAATGTTGTTGAAAAGATATGCTGTCGCTGTATGTTGTCGAGTACGACAAATTAGTTGATTCGTCGTTTTAGCAGGACCATAAATCTTCATCAAACCCTAACTCTAAAGCCGACATAGAGATGCTGAAGCGTTTTAAGAAATATGTGGTTAAAAACGTTGGAGGTAGCAGTTCTTTGTCATTGTGTACCTTTTTTTAATTTTCTCCAACTTCTCGAAACTCTGCTAAACGACTACTCGTCATTATCCACTGTCAAACTGTCGTGAAAATAACGTGCTTCAATTTCGCAACGGCGTCCCCTTTACCGATACGGTAGCATGACCCGACAAGGATGACAGCCACGAATCAATCTGTGACCTCCGCTACATCGTTTCTCTCATTTCGTCCTTGATTCATTTTCCGATGAAGCCGACAAAAATCGAATTGAACTCAGTGCCGTTGTTCTAAAACTTTGATTTCCCGCCTTCAATTTAGGATCAAGACGCCACAGACAAAAAGATCACGAACATAACAGGCCTTAGGACGTACATAATTGACACCTGTGCACTTGTCCTAGCTCCCTAACTAATCCCTGTTGTTGATTTACAAAGACGCCTTGGCCCCGCAGCTCTGGTTGCCAAGACGTGACTATTTTTTGCTTGTCTGCTTTACTCGGCCTGGTTGGATAATGTCGCGACGGGAGAACTAGCCGTTTCGTAGCTATCGTCGAGCAAAACGAGACACTCGATGTGTCTTAGCTAAGCTTCGAGCTTTGAATTATAACATACTTTTACTGCTAACTTCACTCAATACGGTAGCACTTGCCCTCTTGAAGTGTGACTTGTGTGGTATTAACGGGCGCGCGGAGAGCTCGTCAGCCTTGCGGCCGTTGATTTTAGCGAACAGAACCCATGTTTGCAGACTGATGCGAGCGGGTCGTGCGCTTCGAATTCAATATATCTGAATACGAATCATATAGAAACCAAGATCCTAAATGTCTTACTGGAGAGCAGTCGCATTTGTATACCTTCACGTACCCACTAACGCTGTCCTGTCTCAGCGGTGGTGTCCGTATTGAAGCATAGCTGCAAGATTATGTGAAATGAATGTAATACAATAAAAGAAAGATTTCATTTGGAACTTTCTGTTCAACTTATAACCGCCTGTTTGTTGTGTAGACGCTTACCCCTCGTGTGTGGTGTTTCGCAAGAGTTTAATACAATGAGACCTCCGTGTTCCATTCGACCATCTAATGTTCCCGATACTTTGCGCCTGCCTTTTTATTCGAATTCGGGTGCTCTATGTATATAATCCGATATACATGCATGCTTTTTCCATTACTAATTCTAATGAGATAAAAATCACTCGATGGCTAGCTGCTATGGGCCATATCGACCATCGTAACATCGATATAAACAAGAAAGATAGACAAACTGCTTGCAGTACCATTACACGGTCTTAGCAGATCTCTATTTTTTTTTAGATAGTTTTGTTAGTTAGATAGATTGGAGCAACAGCGTTGGTTTGTCATTGAGATTGCCGACATCACAAAACAATATGTGCCATTATACTTTTGTAATCGTATTGGAGCTGCCGAATGATTTGGCCTGATAACAATCCGAGATCACCTGTTACGCATGAACAGTAACAGCTAATAATTGCCAGTCTAGCTGATAACGATAGTGTAGGCTCACGGTCCTTCGGATACGTTGAGTTGTCAAACGTTCTATGCAATCAAATAACGCTTGGCCAATTTTCGTGGGACCAGGACACTGTTGTGGCCAGTCACTCCAACCGTTACTATGGTACTATAAAAAATTACAAAAAAAAAGGCTTGTCACCAGTGATTATTATGACTATTCGCCTACTAGAAGCTAACAAACTAAGTAACTGTTATAAAAGTATTAAATATGCCGTCAAAACTCGCTGCTTCCGCTCTGCAGTCGGTACGTCCACTAGCACTGGCTGTCGCTCCCGACGAACGGTGAGATCGTGGGCCGCAATCGCGTGGCGTGATGATTACGTCTAAATATATACTACAACAACCGGGCCTACGTTAGAGAGCGCAGCATCAACGAGAACAGCGAAAGCTGCATGATCCGAGAGCAGCAACGATAGCGCATGTACATCGTTACGGAGAGTACTAGGCCATCGGCTTTTGTAATGGACCGCGCTTTACTCCTACCATTGCCATTACTGCTACTTTTCAAACAATAGTAGTTTGCCCCTGCTGGTGCCGGTGCTGGTGCTGGCCGCCTACATTTTGCGTAGTCACTTCTATAGAGTGTAGTGCACTCGCAGGTCCGGCTTTCAGACAGATGGGCGAACTCAGCAAGCGACTTAGCCTGTCAGACAGCCACGCCACCGAAAGAAAAATCCACCGTCGAAAGACGTGCAGCGGCTCGACTCTGAGCAGGCAGACGAATGAGGAAGGTTTGGTACAGGTCCAAGTGTTGTTTGAAAGTGGTACCACCCAGCTGTAGCGTCAGCAATAGCAGCTCGAAGTGAATGTTGGAGGGAAAGTTTCGCCTTGCCACTCGTTTGTCCGGTGTCCGTTAGCCAGTCCTGAGTCCTCTTATTCAGCGACAGCTGCAGAAGGCCTATACAAGTCTATATATACGGCATATACGAGACAGCTGCCGCTACTCGCCACTGACTAATAGCCAACACAGCCCATGTTTTGCTTAGCCAAACAAATAAAGTAGCTAAGCGACAGGGATCTTTGCGATAGAAGAACGCACAGGCTTAATGAACGGTCAGAACGGAGGGTGAGACATAAAACGACGAAAAAAAAACAGCCAAATTATGATGTGGTCTGCTTGCCGCCATCCCAAACGACTGAATGAGATCCGTTCGTTCTAGTGTCCACCTGATCATGCGGTACAGTGCGGACGACGTCGACCCTGACTAGTTGATTCACATTTAGCTATTGGCAATTTTTTCTGTAGAGCAGAAGCACTGGCAACAACTAGCAGCAGAGACGAGACGAGATAAGTGGATCACTTCAGTTGCCGACTGATCGGCGGAAGCGCGCAGGCGCTCTTGATGCTTGTGCTGTACCAATAGCAGAAGCAGTGACGTAGTCGTGTATTTTACGGCGAAGTGAGCATCCTGAGACGCCACGCTTGCACATACAAACATGGCCAGCGATGAGTTGTCTGCGGGGTTTTTTTTTTGTTTCGGTACGTCTTTGGACCACCCGACGCGTTAGTGCTTCACTGGCGCTGGCGCGTTGCCGTCTCTACAACGGCAGCGGCAGCGGCAGCAGGCGTCAACGACGCCAACAACAAAAAACCACCGATGTCAACAGTTAGAACAACAATATTAGAAGTAACGGCTGTAGCTACAACGCCAGAAGAAGGCAACAGGGCGTTATATGGTACTTATTTGAGCGGACTATTACTCCGTTACCATCGGCTCCACCCTTCTGTTCGGTTCTCAGTTGTACAGGCGGCAGGCAAACAATCGCCATCTAAGCGAGACGGAAGCCCGCCCTTAAAGGCCGAAAAAACTCTGCGCGAAACACTATGGTCATAACGATAATAACAAGCTTGCCAACAACAGCAACAACATTACTAATAGGACTGGGCCGTTGGGGGGTAAATACGATTAAGTTTGAGCCTGAGCTAATTACTGATACATTTTA